CGTGCCTTTCAGAATTTCATCATATAAATGCGGAAGTTCGTACCCATTATCTCTGTTCATGGTATTCTTGTTTTGCCTTATTTTGATGGCTTTTCTTATTTTTCTATCCTGCCAGTGTGGTTTTTTTTTTTTTTCAATTACTAAAGGTCCACATTTCTCTGCGTAGAAAATTCAAGACACACTCTCGCATGCTCCAGAAATCCATCCACCAAAAATGCTTCACCATGAACCAGAGAAGTTTCGAACTATGACTGCCTCTAATTTGTCGTACAAGCTGGGTATTCTAACTGTACTTACAAGCTTTCTGACGGGCTTTTTGAGTAAATTCAGAGTTTTTCCACGCGCCGTTGCGTGTCAATAACTCGTCACGTAAAAACTCATCTTCTCTCCCTATATAGGTTGCACTAGAATTATCTTTATTCCCGTTTAAATTCGAGTGCCATTCCCGGCCATCTAGAGGTGCCATATAATCATAAATTTTCTTTTCCTCAACGCCAACCGTGGTGGGGGTCGGCTGAGGTGAGTGAACCCTGGCCAACATTTCTGTGAAAGTCCCTCCCTGAACCCCACTCTATTTCAAACTCCTGAATCCGCCACGGTCCCATACAGTATGTTAAAGTCGCTATCTGGCCCGGAAGAGTGTGGACATATTCGCTTAACAACAACAAAGTGATTTATTACTTTCCCTACCTTATTCCCTATCAATGATCAGTATAGGCTTATTTTATGAATTCTCGATTTTTTATATTTTTAAAGATTTATTTTCAATACCTAATACTATTGTAGGTTTTTTCATTGTGCGCTAAACCTACTGTACATTAATTTTTTTATGTTTAAATTTATTAATATTTTATTTACCTTCATTGGCGTAAACAATGGGACCGGGGGCCGTGTGTATTTCTTAAACAGGGGGCCCTTATTTTTGGGGTCCCAGTCACCAATTCCATCGTGGGATTTTAGATGTGCATTGTTATTCTAGTTTTAACGACGAATAAATAATGTAATATGGATCCAGATAATTGAGGCCAGGGAGGGACTTTCACAGTTGGAGAGTCTACGGTATGCCACCTCAGACCCACCATGGTTGGGGCTGAGGTAGAAAAATTTATGAATATAGCACCTTCAGATGGCCGGAAATGGCACTTTGCAGACATTAAATTGTGATTAATTTTCTTTTTATCTCCAGTTAAATAATATTTTGACAAATTTAGTGGGGCCCCGGGCCGCTGGCAGCTCCAGGCCGGCAGCTCCCCTCGCCCAACTCTTTATTCTGCCACTGGATATAATATTCATATGTCCTACAGTCGATTTCTGACACACATTATGCCGTTGCCCTTGTGGGGCTGAGATAAAAAAAAAACATGTATTATTATGGCACGTCTAGATGGCCGGAAATGGCACTCACAGACTTAAAATTGTGAATATAATTTTCTTTTTTTCTCTATTTTTTTTTTTTTTTTTTTTTTTTTTGACAAATTTAGTGGGGTCCCGGGCCGACGGGCCCCATCCCCTTATAATATGATATATGCCCTACAGTCGATTTCAAAGACACATTATGATGTTATTTATCAACAAAGTCCTTTTTGGTCAGGTTGCCAAATCGAGGAACCTATGGGTAGGGCCCCTATAATTCGGGGAAACGTGGTTGGAAGCGGCACGTTTCACATCTAGGCTATGTGTATGTCCAAGGGATTTATTTTACTCCGACGTCGATTTATTTACGATTCTTAAAATTTTAATCATATAAATACTCCTAGTATAATTAATGACATTTCCACGGTGTTTTTAATTAGATTGATTTAATTTTGTATAGATCAGTTTCCTTAACATATCAAAGTTGATATTCATCGTTAGGCCATCAACATTTTACAGAACATTTAAAAATAAGAACACTGAATAGTCGTGTTTGCTCTC